GAAGGAAGGAAGGAAGGAAGGAAGGAAGGAAGGAAGGAAGGAAGGTTGGGAGAAAGAGAGAAGAGTAGTTCGCGCGAAGCGAATGACTGCGATTCGTCCAATTATCGGTTGGCACCAAAAGTGCTGGGTCTGGCTCGCCTGCCAAATGGGAAATAGCCGGCGAACTGCAGAGGCAAGCTATAGCCGGCGCTGGGGCTATGGTTCTCTCCGGACGCTGTGTGCGGAACCTCCAGCCTGTACCTTTTGCTCTCCCACTAGCTACGATATGAACTAGCAGAGGTATAGAAGCTGGTCGTACCATGTAAACGGTAGTCACCAAGAGATAATTTCACCTTCTACGATTCGCTAGTTTTCTCTTCTTCCGGTATCTTCTCTTCTATGGACTTTGAGCTTCGTTAAAGATCGGCAACGACCAGACTATCCGAGATGAAAACTCGAATAGTTTCGTCGTGTCTCCTAAACAACATCGATGTTTCGTTGCTCGTCGTGCAACAGTTATATCGCATCATGATTCTGAAACAATTCGCCGCGTTCTATGATAAAATTTCAATCTACGAAATTCTGCGCAGGTATTTTCAACAGGTTAGATCTTGTTTCATTCAATGCTAGGATTAGTTCCAATCCAATGCAAGAATTGTTTCTCTTATTAATTCTATATGTATTTTATGTATATTATTATTACAGAAATTGTAAGCTCAGGTTTTAAAAAATGATAACGAATGATCGTCGATTATTTCCTATCATTATTATTTTTAACAAATTAGTGGCTTTAAGGAAATTCTGTCTTTATATTTAAAAATATTTATTTCTTCGCAAATATTTTGAAAATTATTTTATGCATTGTTTCTCTTACTCTCCTATAGATAATAGAATTTATTTATTTTCGAGTAATCTAAAATTTTTATTACTGATATAAATTATATAATTATTCCATTTAAAAAATCGTATTTCACTCTCTTTCTGTGCAGCCATCAGCAGGAATTATACCATTATGACCCATTCGAAATCATTTACTTCTTATTCAAACTATTTTTTATATAACGAGTAGGCTTTGAGTAATTCGCTTAATTTAATGTATAGATTAGAATTACAAGGATGCGCTCAGTTTTATTTGGCCTAACTTTTAATTTGGAGTTTGTCGTTCTATTTTAGCCTGGGTATTCATGCAAATTATACGAATCTTTGTTCGTGATGAAAATCTTTGTGTTTTACACAATTTTTTTATTTAGTCTCTTTCAAGAAATTGTAAAACCTTTTACTGGTCGTTCATTTTCTTTTCTATTTTTTGTCCCGTCGTTGTTCTTACGTGCACTAAGACAGGTAAATGACATCATTAACAAAGTTAAAGCGCTGACGCGTTGAGAATAACCCCAACCGTTGACCCACAATTTCCTCGTTCAGTTTCTTCACCCTTCAAGATCGATGCGTCGATTTCCGATACCCCGTACCACCACCATAAAGTTGGACGGAGCTCTGCTGGCCATTTTACACGACAAAGGACTGAAAGAAACCGTGATTATACGCTATATTTCAATTTTTCAAAGAGCTCTTGTGCCGTACGCCAAAAAATACCTCTTTAACTTTGGAACGCTAACGTTTCATAATTTGTGTGATCTGTCTACCGAAAGAAACTCGTTTACAATTCCTACAATTTCAAACGACGTATATTATGTATCCCTTTCGGTATGCTCAACATTGTCAATTAAATTTGCTCGTTCCTTATTTCGTGAAAATCGGTTTCCATGAAAATCGTCGAGAATCGAGAATGCTGTCTATCACTGTGCGACGTAGTAACGAGAAGCAACGTGCAACGTTTTCACTTGCGTCAACTGCAGAGAATATTGTAAAATTTGGTTAGAGCGTACGACTCGGTGCCAATTTGTCGACACTTGGCCAAGCAAGACGATCATCTTGTATAATTTAACGAGGTGATCCGCAGTTATGTCCCTGTATGATTCGGAGCTGCGTGAAATGGTCGGTGCTTCTGTATAGACTGGGAATGGTAATTGGTGAGGTAGGTATGCAGATACACACCACATGTATTCTGGATAGAAGGGCGCGACACTAATATACTCACACGTGTTAGCGATCGTGTTCCCAGGATTTGATTGTCCATGTTGCCTAGAGAATTATCGAGTTCGCCGGATTCTGCTGTAGCATTTACGAGCGGAAGTGCGCGCTGCGATTCAGAAACATCAACTCATTGTCTAATATAGGGGAGATGGGTTGCGTATGATCATTTCCTGTCGGTTATACGCTACGTTCATTTTCACGATAATCACACGTAGCTTATGCATCGTGGATTTTGCTCTATTATAATATAACATATCATACGAATATACGTTTAATCAGTTAAATTACGCATAAACGGAGAATGGCCTTCTTAACAAGAGATAAAATACATATGTAAAATAAGAGAATATACTTTTACGTTTAATGAGATCGATGATAAATGCAATCGCGGAATAGCAGTTATTACTATTTAATAATAGGGGAAAGCATTTTGTAGTAATTATTATAATTAATTGTCTTTTTGATAATTTTTTCCGTAAAGAAAATGTGTAAAAGATTTTTTAATCATATCTTCGTGATGCAAAGCGATATAAAATAAAGTAACAGGACATAACAAAACAGTAGGAAGTGATGAAATAAAATTGAAATGCCGCGTTTTTCCCGCAAATAATAAATTTCCGTAAGAGATTGTATTGTTTCCAATTGTCCAAGTTAAAACGTGATTGTGATGGACATGGCGCCAACCACAATATCAAAGTCCATTGTCCCCGATGAAGCTCGTATACAGTTTTACGAACGATACGCGAGACTGTTGCAGACCAACCCCCTCAATAAAAATACTTTTAAGGAAATGAAATTGATATAAAGGACACATTGTGATGGTGACACTGCGAAACATCGAAGACACATTACGTCGCGTGCAATCCCGTGTCGCTACGTGTTGTCTCGGCGATATTGCTCGTTGCCATGTTAGTCAGCTTTATTATATGTTGCTCGATATACTTTTGTATAGTTTTAAAGTTTGCAACGGTAGGCGGAACGGTAAGATATCTGCATCTAGTTTGCAGCGTTTCCCATTAATCTTAAATAATACGTGGCAAAAGACGCTATTAATATCTATTTTCCGGCCAAAGTTTGTCCCTCACGCGACTGTTATGCTCTAGCGTGCGGTAAGCAATGTTACGCCAAGTGATAAGCTCGCGAAAAATGTTAAAGAAAAAAAGTTACTCGTAACTCGAAGGAAATGGCGAGGTCGATTGAAAGTTGCTGGGCTGTCGTTACGTTGCCGAGTTTGTATGAGTTGCGTATGTTCTCGTGTACGCATGTGTATATACATATACACCTATATATATAGCTCGTACACGCAAAAATTGCACGTGTATGCGTATGTTCGATCGTGCACGAATAAGTACACGCCTTGGTAAATAACATATTTACCAGCCAAGTTATTTAATTGTAAATCGAGTTTATTATTTCCAAGTAGTAGCGCGGATTAATATCGGAAGATGGTGCAAGAAAAAGCGATAGCCACGAGGAGGCGCATATATAATGGATAAATACTGGTTTTAATTAATTCGAGCGAGTAACGAAGGGATATTAATCTATCGTGTATTACTATGTATCGTGTTAATGCATATACGATCCACTAACTGCGGTATGCATCCAATTAGAACGATAGTTACACCGATACCATAATTCCCATATAACCGCGATGGAACGAGAAGATGCGTTTTAGCTTCTAAAACCGTTTAATAATATCTTCGATGTGGCAATCATAGGCGAACCGAATAATTTATCGCCATCAGTCACGGTATAGCTGCGGCGAACGAGCACTTGGAATAATTAATGCAATTTCCAGCGATATCGGTGGGGGCCTCGGTTAATGTAGTTATAACCGTCGATTAATCATTCCT